AAAACCATCCTAATCTGCATCATTTCCTTCAAAAACCACAAACTGCTCACTAACAGCCAAAGAACTCAGAAAGTAAATAAGTTTGTTGAAACTTGGAACTAGCTTGAGTTCTTCTTCGCACCTCGGGAAAGTACTTTCCACAAGAACACTACTGTCCTAAGTCGCACAATGGCCGAATCTCCAAGTGAACAGAAAGACAACTCTGCAGGGTTGGAGTATCTGGATCCTATGTATCCCTTTCTACATTACGGATGTTCTTGGGTGGAGCTCCAAAGGCCACCGAAGATCTGCTTGCAAAATAGGAAAACTGCAGCTGGAAAATGTTAGTTACCTCATCAGGTACAAAAGTCAGAACTTGAACTCAGGCTCCCAAATTATCTAATGCTTTAGCTAAAAACTGTTTCCATAGTATACACATTCTGTTAAAATAAAATATACAAACTCTGACAAATCTGTTTGGCAGTCTTCAATTGGTAGGAGCAGATAAAATTAATTAAAGTTAAATGCACCAGAGATGATAGAAGAGTTAAGGAACAGAGTAATTGCGTAGCAAGAAATAGAAATATTTTGTGACAATTCCTGAGTACGATTAAAGTGCTGTGTGCTGGAAATAGGGAACCATCAGTGTGTGAACATAATAAGAAATTTTCACTTGACAATAAAGAGCCACATCAATATTCATTCAAAACTGAAGGCGATTAGAAAATCACACTTTGAATTTTCAATAGCTAGACATCTATTTATAAGTCAAGAACACAAAACAATCAAATAGAAAGAAGCCAAGGGTATGACCCACAAAGGAACTATGAAAACACAACCTGCCTATTTCTGGAATGGGCCACGCTTTCCCAGTAGGGGAGGGGAGGAATGTTAGGACTGACTGTTGGGTGGTTCAGGCAGGAAACTGGAGGGCAGATTCTATGCCCACTGGGGTGGTATCTCTGATCCACCCCTCCTCATTCCCAAAGGGAAGGTTAGTAAATCTCCCAGCTGAGTATGGCTTCATGGCTCGAATAAGGAGCCAGGAGGGGAGGTCTGGCAACATAGCCCCCTCATCTTAGTCGTTCTCTCGCCAAACAAGTCCACAGAAAGGAGGGTGGCAAGTGAACATGAAACGAAGCATGTTTTGTGTAGTATGTATACTGGACTCTCATTCATATTGGGTCAGAACATCTCACAGACACTCACTCAGATGGAACAGACCTTCACCTACACATCGCTGCACTAGGTCATGGCACTGATCTGATTACTGTAACAAGGGTGCCACTTGCTCCTGCTTACACACACACACATCTCCTAAGAGACAGATGCACAGGGAGGTTCTGGGCACGGGTGGAAATAGTTGCCTTTCACTTTGCTGCACAAGACACCTCTGTCAAAGAAGGGAGCATGCTCCTCATGGAAGAGAACCCAGAGATTATAAAAGGGTCAGACAGGCAAAAACATTTTCTGCGTTACATCTCCTAGAAGCTCTTTGCCATTTTGATGGGTAATCCATTACGAGATCTAATTGTTGAAGATCTTCAAGGTATTTCCCTTGAATATGTACAGTGATCAAGCACTGAATTGCATCAAGTCTTCCTTCTAAACACACTCAGGAGTTCTCAGAGCCACTCCATGCATCCCCGTAAGTAAGTCTCTTTTGTTGCTTTTCTGCTCCTTGGAACCGACCCCTGGCCCCCACATTCCTCTACCTATTTATATCAAAACAAACACAGACAGAACTAGGAACTGACAAGAGACATTTGGACCATCTGAGATTCCGGAAAAATAAAACACACAGAAGGAACCATCCATCTTTGAACTCATTTTTACAATCTTGTTATCTTCAACATGCATGGTAAAGAACCATTTGGCTTTTTTGATCTAAAAGGGAATTTTATTTTACTGGCAACACAGAGAACCTTTATTTTGGCAGCATAAATATAAAAAGTATACGTATATATGATGCCTAATGAACAAAGAATCTGACTGCACATGTGTATTCTGTCCCATAACCTTGTTTTAGTAGTAATATTCTTTATATTTCTTTAATTTTACCACACCTATATGCAGTATTTACTCTGTGTGAGGAACAGTGTGACATGCTTTAAAAATTATAACTCATTTAATCCTCACTAAGGTCCTCTGAGAGATGTACAATTTGTGATTTTTTTTTTTTTTTAGATTTTTATTTTTATTTGTTCGAAAGGCAGAGTTACAGAGAGGCAGAGGCAAAAAGACAAAGGAGTTCTTCCATCCGTTGATTTACTCCCCAAATGGCCGCAATGGCTGGAGCTGAGCCGATCTGAAGCCAGGAGCCAGGAGCTTCTTCTGGGTCTCTCATGTGGGGCTCAAGGACTTACACCATCTTCTGCCACTTTCTCAGGCCACAGCAGAGAGTGGTCAAAAGTGGAGCAGCCGGGACTTGAACTGGTGCCTGTATGGGATGCTGGCACTGTAGAAGGCAGCTTTACTCGCCTCGCTAAGCCACGGCACCTGCCCCTAGACTCATTTTTAAAGGTGAGAAAATAAAGCACAGAGAGGCTAAATGACTTGCCCAAAGTCACATAGCCAAGAGGAGATGAAGCTGGAATTTAACCCCAGTCTAGCTCCAGCCTAGGAGCTATTTCAAACATTCACCAAATAAGCAATAAAATGTGATTTGTGAAAAATCACCCTACATATTTTTAATAATATTACCATTCAATAATTAATTCATGTCAAGTTGCCGTTTCCTCAGATTCTGTTAGAGGAAGAATGGGGCCAGTGCTGTGCTATAGTGGACTAAGCCTCTGCCCATGGCACCAATATCCCATATTCATGCCGGTTCTAGTCCTGACTTCTCCTTTTCGGATCCAGCTCTCTGCTATGGCCTGGGAGACCTGGAAGAAGCTCTTGGCTCCTGGCTTCAGATCGCCCCAGCTCCAGCTGTTGCAGCCATTTGGGGAGCAAACCAGCAGATGGAAGACCTCTCTCTCTCTCTCTGTCTCCCCCTCTCTCTATCTGTCACTCTACCTCTTGAATAAATAAATATCTTTTTAAAAAATAGTAAGAATGAAAAGAAATAAAATGACAACATAGTAAATTAGTGTATGTATCTGTTAGGAAAGTTACTGTGCAAAAAGTGAAACACTAGAAAATCTGTTGTTTAGATTTGGTACTGTCAGTGTAACTTTAAAAAGTCTCTACACTCATCCAAAATCATGATCACCAAGCTAGATCCACATCAGATAAAATGTAATTGCATGGTACAGAAAAATAGAAAGCTCTCAGAGATGCTTCCTGGGGAATCCCACGTTTGATGAGTCTCTCAGGGATCCAAGAAGTTTTCTCCTAGGAATGCTCTCAGCACACCTGCAGATAGCCTATATGCCCTAAGCCCCCACCTTCAGAGAAGTGCCGTCCATGGCTGCCTAGGGCCTTCTGCCAAGGCAGCCTGGGCCAGGGTGTGGCTCTAGGGCTGCACATACCTCAGAGCACTTGCATATTCGACCTGGGAGTCTGCTGCAGATTAAAGCGAGCCAGGAAGGAAGAAACTGTCTCCATTCCTGCATTTCTCGCTCTGGAGGGGTGTAAGTACACACTCAGGAATATGTGTTAGGGTCCTTGGCCTCCTCCACTGCCACAGCTGTGGCCTCTAGCTGTGCACATACTCCAGACAGTGTGGGAGGAGTGGCAGAAGCCCAAATTGCACCAGGCATCACTCTTCTCTTTCACCATCTTCCCTTGAAAGCAATGTTGACCAGCAGTTCCCCAACGGGGACCAGCAGTTCTTCCTTTACTGAGAACAAGTTACCACGATGCCCCTGTCCCCTGGGCAATGGCCCAGCCGTGCAGAGGAGCTAGCCCAGCGGCTTGCAGGGTGCAGGCAGACACAGCATCAGTGCCTTTCTCCTTCCAGCACCAACCAGAGCAACAGCTTCAGGCAGCCGGCGACTGTCCCTCTCCCTGCTTCACAAAGTTAAGGATGACCATCACAGGCATCCTCAAGAGTGAAGATAGCAGAGGAACTTTCTGGAACCTGAATTTACGTGACTCCACATCCTACCAACCTCCTTCTAAGACAGGCTCCTCCACTGCCAGTTCTCACCTTCCTGATCCCTTCGTGAGTCCTCCCTGCCCTTTCCTGGTGAGTGATAAAGCGAATATCCCAACGTGGAACTCACCTTAATTCCCATTACCTCGCCGGTGCCTGCCTAGCACTGAAAAGACACTCAGAGGGGTTGGCCTTGTGGCGTAACAGGTAAGAGAGAAAGACACCTTGGAAACAGACTTGATCATTTGGGGATTTCCCTTTTTGCTCCTGTTTTTTTTTTTTTTTTCTTCTAGCAGAAAGACAGGGATAAAATTTTATGATCTACACAGATTGCTGGAAACAAATCTCCTAAGTGTCTCAAACTTTTGTGATGAGGTTCTGAATCTTAACATCAAAATATCCATTTGTGATCATGAAAAACTAACACTCAGTGTTCTGATGTGGCACCTATTACACGAGGTTGATTACCCATGGAACTTCCAAGTGATGTTTTTCCAGAGATCTGTCTGTGGTTATACTAGGTGGTCCATTTAGAACACTGTCAATTCAACCTCACTTCAAAAAAAAAAAAAAAGACTTACACATGGGCCACTTTACACAACAGCTATGGTGTGGATTTTGTAAGTACTCTCAGGCTCAGAGTCTGTTTAGTGTAAATACAGTCTAGACTTATTATCTTACTCCCATCTCAGCCACCTCAGCCTGTAGCAAAACAAGGAAGTAAGCCTAATGAGAAAACAGAAGCTAGAGAGACCGGGGAGAAATACTAACATCCTTGATGGCTTTTATGTGAACGACAAAGCCACCCCTCTCCTCCAGGTGGCTCAGGTTGGAAAGGGGCAGGATAGGAAGTCAGAGACCTTCCCTGGAAAACTTCCAGGTCAGGCTCTCAGCACCAAGCCCTGCTCAGGCACTGAGCACTCCCAGGTGTGGCGTGATGTCCCGCCCCCCAGAGAGGTGAGGTCCCAGGTCTGATACTCACGTTGACACTGTCCCCAGGACTGGCGAGCCCAGCCCCAGCAGCAGTCAATCCTGCCACCATAACGACACAGGCCAATGGACGACACTATCTGCCTGGGCCACCTACCAAGCAAACAGATTCAAAATAAATAAGGATCCTCTTGAGATCAAAGATAATTTCCTCTTTGTTATTTGAGAAAACTTGGCAAACCACACCCAACAATCTGAAGGCAGGTTTCAGTTAAACAGATACACCGTCAGCACCCGGGGCTAGGAACAGAGCCGAGGGCACCATCCTTTCTCAACTAGAAACAGCACCAGCTACAACGCAGAATTCTCAAGGCTGCCACTCACAGGGTGGATTCTGAAGCCTGAAATAAAACAGATTCCTCCAAGACCCACACCTGGGGGCGGGGGAGGGGGAGGCGGCGCGGGAGCAGTTTGTACTGAGTCATCATAAACTGAAAGGTATTAAACAATACAAGATGTGGCACAGCTGAAAGGAAAAAAAAGTAAAAGGCGGATTGGGAAAGGGGCAGAAGGACGGGGTTCCTCAGAAACCAAATGAAATGAAGCGTTTTCAGACGCCGCACGTGGAGCTTGCTGCAGCAACAGTGCGTGCTCATTCCCTCTCTACTGTAAATAATGACTACAGAAAGTATGGGATTTCAAGGTACTGGTTTATCCACCGCATGACACTTGGACAAACTGCGAGGACTGGGCCACTTGCTTCCATGCTCAGATTCGCACCTAAAAGACTTCCCCCTCCGAGAGGATCCACAAGGGAATTGGGTGTTCTAGCCCTCTGGTTAAAGCTACTTTAAAAGCGGACGCACGTCACGTGGCGCGCTTGCGGTAAATAGGCGTACAAGAAACGCACAGCGTGCCCAAAGGTGGGAAAGAGTTGCCTAAAAAAACAAAAGGTGCAGCCTCGGGCGGCGACCCGTGTTTTCTTTCAACTCCCTGATCTTTTCAACTCCCCTTTCCTCCACCTGCGCAGGTCCAAAGTTCAAAATAACCCCCAACTCCGTATTTCCTGCGCCCAGGTGCTCCACAGGCGGGGCCGTTTCCCCTCCGCGCTCCACTGGGTCCCGTCCTTTCCCCTCCCAGGTACGAGGCAGCCAATCAGTCGCGGAATTGATTCGTCCTAAGATTGCAGGTGGAACAGGCGCGGCGTCTCGCTTCAGGGCTGCGCCGAGGGGTCGGGGGCGCGGCGGGACCTCTGGGGCTGCAGCCTTCGCGCGCCCGCCGGGAGAGTCCGGTCTGCAGGTGCGCGCAGGCGGGGGCCGGGCCCGCCTCCCGAGCCATCCCCGTGCTCGGTCAGTCACTCACTCACCCGGCGCCCGCGCGGACCCCGCGGCGGGAGCGGGGAGCGGGGAGCGGCCGCGCCAGGGCCCGCTGAGCGGCGGCAGCGACGCGGCCCGGGGTTGTCGGGACCTGTCAGAGCACGCAGCAGGCGGGCGCGGTCTGCGGAGCTGCTAGCTCTCTCTCCCCATCATATACTCCTGGCGCCCCCCACCCGCAGTCTTCATTTTGAGGCCCCCATCAAGGGGGCGGCAAACAGGTCCCCCTAGTAAGCCCCAGCCGCTTCCTCGGCCCCACTCTTTGTTGTGAGGGCCCTGACAGCTCCGCCCCGCTCGCCCGAAGTTTCCCCCACCGAACAGCAGTCTACACCAAGAGTCGGTGTCCCGGCCGGGGAATGCCCCCACGCGTCACCTCTGTTCTGGCAGCCCCACCGCGCCCTCGGGGCTGAGCTCCACGGCCCGCGCCTTCCTACTCCCGCAGCCCCAGTTCCCGCGCGGGTTCCGGGACTGGCCGGGGTCGCGCGCTCCCGGCGGCGGGGCAGCCCCTGGCCGCGCTGGACGGCGCTCGTCCCGCGGAGACGGTGAGGCCGCCAGACCTCGGCACCGGGGAGACGCCTCTCCGGCCGCGGAGAGGGACTCAGTGGCGCGGACAGGAAGGGAGCGCGGGAAGGAGGAGAGGGCGCCCCGAGGCCCCACTCACCTCCCGTCGAAGTCGGCGGCCGCCTGCAGGGAGAGCGAGGACACGAGCACCAGCGCCAAGGGGAAGTCCATGCTGGCCGGCGAGCCCCGGGCGAGAGCGCGGCTGCGAGCGGGCACAGGTTGGGTGCTGGGCGCGGTGAAGAGGCGCTCCCGCCTCCTCGGCTCCGCGGAGCAGCTGCGGGTCCCGGGATCCCTCTGTCGCCGCCGCCGCCGCCGCCGCCGCGGCTACCGCTGCCACTCCTGGAGCCAGAGGCGCCGCGCGCAGCCGGAGCAGGTCTGCGGCGCTGCGCCGGGAGTCCCCTCCGCCACCCTCCCCGCGAGGGGAGGCGCTGCAGGGGGAGCTGCGCCGCCCGCGGGGAGGGGCGCCGGGCCGGGTGGGGGGCGCGTGCACCCGCCCCGCCGCGCTCCGAGCCTGGCGAGCGAGGAGGGCACTCGGCCCCTCCCGGGGGCCCGGCGGGGCGGGGGCGCTGCGGGACCAGTGGGGCGAGCCTCGGGCTGAAAGAAAAGTTACAAGCCCGATCTGGGAAAAGGGTGAGCAGAGGAGAAAAAAGAGGCCCGAGACGAGGGTGCGCTTTCGGCCGGGTCCGCCGGAACAGGTGGTGACCGCGGGAGCCAGCGGCGCCTCTCACCGGGGGTGGGTAGAGACGCCCCAGACCCACTGGGGGTTTGGGGGCTGGAGCTGGGCACTGTCTGCGTTTCGTGAAACCACAGCACGACTTGGACAAATTAGCGAGGGCAAACTCTGCTTCTCCCGCAGAGCTGGCAGAGGCGGGCGTGTATTTTTTATTTTCTAACCAACGGAAAGAAATGTCTGACTGGCCAGTGGAGTCGTGAAGAAGCAAACGTGCTGACGGTTCCCCCTGAGAAGTGCCAGTTCCACTGAGCACTTAGGGCAGTGAGCGGCGCCCCCTTAGAGGCACGTGCGGTCCGCGAGGGGAGGGCTGTGACCGCGCGGGAGTCGTGGTGCCGAATCTCGCGGAGATCACGCAGAGACATTTTAAGTTGCTGTTGCTCTGTTGTTGCAGAGCGCAAAGTACTCTCGTCTGTTCAAATGAAAATGGGCGAGTAGCCTACCACGCTCCTGAAATGCGATCAAGGCATCCCCCTTCTCCAGTCCCTTGGCGCTCACCCACCACGTGTCACGTCTCCTGGTTCACGGCCTACCTTTCACGACGCACACACCAGACATGACCCCACCGTGGGGCCACCGGACCCAGGCACCTGCAGGGTTCACAGCCTCACTTCCTTAAGTCTTTGCTCAGAGTGACCTCCCTAAAGAGACCAACCAGGACCACCCTGTTTAAAACGGCAACTTGCCCTGTCCTAAGGCTTTCTGACCTCTTTCTACGTGGGCTTTTCGCCACACCGTGCAGCTTCTGCTCCACCGTACGATGTGCTTATTTCTTGTTTGTGTGTCTTTATCCTAGAATGCAAACTCCACAAGGGCACGTTTCTTTGTTTAGTGTCTAGAACGGTGTCTGGCACACAGTAGGTGCTTGTAAATGTTTGTTGAATGAATTTGCCACATCACAGACTTTTTCCTCTGTCTCAATTTTCTTTTTGAGATTTCTACAACTTCAAAATTTTAATGGAAAGTTCTGTGGCAGGGTGATCTCACCAGCCTGATGTCTTCGTGTGTGTAAGAACAGGAATTTTCTGCAAGAAAAGGAAAAAGAATGGGTTCCAACTTAAATGACTTCTTTGATTTCCAAGTTGTTTTCTGTTAGCAAAACAAGTTTCTATTTTGATCTCAGGAAACATCCATGCCAATTCAGGCTTGGGACATTATTTTAGGCAAACAGCTTGGTGTCATCCATTTCAGTTCCTTCTAATGAAGTCCAAAAATGTGGGAGTCAAAATATTTTTTCTGCAGAAAATCAAATTTGTGTAAGCATCATGTAGGCTCTGTTCCAGGCTCCAGGGCCTACTCCTTAGCTGCTCTCCCTGTTTATTGATTCCTGGATTGGGTTTACAAATAAGCCCACTGGAGCAATGGATGATTAGGTAGAATGAGGCTAACCTACTGGCTAAAAAAGAGGAGATGGGAAGACAAGAGGAAGAGTAATGGGCAAAACGGGAATTAATATCGGGAGCAAAAGTGTAATGACCCATTAACATGCCTCCTTTCCTTTTTTCCATGTATTTTCTTTGGCCTACAAAACCCTCCATGCATCTTCCTTCTTCATCTGGACAATCTGCACTTGCCCTCTGGGTCGCAGCTTAGCTGACGCTTACCCAGGGAACGATTCCTGCCTTTTGGCTCCCCTGAGATGCTTATGGTATGTGCAACTATCACATTGCATCCTCCCAAGAGTAACTCTTAAGGTATTGTGTTGAAATTGCCTCTCTGCCACCGTGGGTCCCTTGGGACACTAGTCTCACCAAGAACAGGGTGAGGACAGTGGCCATCTTGTCACTATATCCTTTGTGTATAGCACAGGTCCTAAGTTCAGTAAATATTAAGTAGACTGGGTTGGATTGATTTGAACTCTGCCTTGTAGTAAGCAGTGGCTAACTGCATCATCTTTGTTGAATCATGGAATGAGAAGACTCTAAAGAAGTTCCAGGGTCTCACTGGAAGCTCTCGCTGGGAGCTGCAGTTCACTGTCTCAGTCTTTAAAGAAAAAAAAAAAAAACTAGCAAGAATGAAATCAGAACAGCTTACTTTTAATAACGACTACTTTTCTGGTAGGATAAACTTGGTTAGGTTTCCTTAGGTAATGATATCTAGGTAATGAGTGATCATCTTAATTGTCTAGTGCACAATTGTTCATCGCTGGTCACCATGTCATACAGATAAATGACAAAATGCAGTGAAGCAAAGACAACTTCAAATAACTATAAATCAGAAACTAATAATAATTTCATGAGTATTTGTGTTTCAGTAAATATCAGTTGAGAGCCTGGAGTGGATTAGCCATTTCCAGGTGCTGAGATTTCAGCGCAGAACAAAGACAAAGCCCCTGCCTTGAGGGAGTTTAGAGTCCAGCGGGGAAGCACCACAGTGAGTGCTCGGACAGGGAAAAGGTGGAAAGAGAAGACAAAGGGAGGTGAAGGAGATAGAAATCGAGGCAGGGTGGGATTTTAGATGGAGGGGTTTGGTCACCATTGTGAGAGTAACTTTTGAGCTGATTCTGAGTGCTGTGAGGGCAAAGGGTGGGACGGGTGTCCAGGCAGAGCTTAGAGCAAGATCAGCTTTTTCTATCAAGTTCTGAAATGACTTCTCATAGTCAAGTGTCATGGAAACCATGAAACAAGCTATGGCTTCCTGCACACCATACACACTGGTGGTAACAGGCACAGGACTGTTGCTCTTAAAAACTCCTATTAAAAGGACACACACCAGGTGTTATAGCAATTGTGAGTCCCAGCTGAGCAACTGTTATGACTACTCTGCGCTGGCATTGGAGAAGACCCCGCTAGGGAAACTGTGCTGTCCATAATCTCCCAGGGGCTACTTTACAAGTGACAGTCTGAGCATCTGCCCTCCTTAAAGGCTGTGCATCATTCACAACTCACTGCCCATTTTCTCCTAGTACAGATTCAAAGGCCTGTATGTTGCTTTAAGGATCTAACAGAGAAAGACGTTTTCAGGCCAGATTCATGGTTTCTGTGGCAACTGGATTTCCTTAAAACCTTAATGGGCTTCTGATCTAATTGCTTCCAGTCAGTTCCTTGTGCAGATAACCACAACCACAGTCTTGCCTCGTCTGGTTCCTAAGCCTGCTTGTTTTCTCTGCTTCCTGTGTCCATACTTTACTCTCTCACCTTAACAGAGGCCACCTTGGGGCTGGCTGAAATACTAGGGTTGTTTGCGAGGGCAATGCCCTTGCTCTGATCTTTGCCACAAGGCTTGGATCCCTTCATTTGTATTAATGTTTGGGGCACAAAGCAGCCATCATTTTTTCAACCCTCAGGGGCCTTCCTTATTTCCTTCCACTTTGCTTGCAGAGCGGCCAACTCTTGCCTGAGCTCACCTCTCTCTTAAGATACCTTACTAAAAGCAACAAGGAGCAGTGACATGAACTAACATTCTCATTTCTTTCAGCCATATTTTCTTGCTCTGGATATGCGTTGTGACTTCCAAACGACTGCAGGCAAGGACTTTATGAACTAGCACAGGTATCACCAGCTTTCCACCTGCACACAGTAGCTGCCTATGGTAATTCCTTGTAAACCACAATAGAATCATATCCCTCCAATGGCTTCTCAACACAAGCAGAGTGAGAAATAAACTCTACTCTGCTCTCCTGCCTATTTCTCTGCATGTTTATGCGATGGTTAAGAAGATGCCGGTTTTGTGGTGGGCGTTTGGCGTGGTGATTACGATGCTTGCATTCCACATTGGTGTCATGGCTCTTGCCTCTAGTTTCCCCCTAATGCAGGCTCTGGGAGGCAAGCAGGGATTGTCCAAGCAATTGGGCTCCTGCCACCCATGTGGGAAATGTGGATTGCATTCCTGGCTCCTGGCTCCAACCCAAGCCAGCCACCCGGCCACAACTGCCATGGGCATTTGAGGAGTGAATCAGCAAATGGGAGTGCTCTCTGGAGAGAGGGAGAGGGAGAGGGAGAGGGAGGAAAGGAGGGAGGGAGGGAAGGAGGGAAGGAGGAGGGAGGAAGGGTGGGAGGTGAAGTGGAAGGAAGGAAGGAAAAGACAGAAAATGCAAGCTTTTTTTAAGATATCATCCCTCCCTTCTGGTACCAGTTTCTATTTTTGCTAAGGTAAAAGGTTAAAATGCTGTAACAGAGACTAAAGAAGGTAATGGCTTTTACAAAATAGGCATTTATTTCCTCATCATGTAGCAGTCTGCAGCGAGTGTATCAGGGTGGTTGGCAGCTCTGTCTCAGGTAGTCATTCAGATTCCAGGCTGTCAGTGACTCTGCTACCTACACAGCCACTCTGATAGTTACCATTGTAGCCAAAGGTAAGGAGAAAAGCATGGGGGGAGGTACATCTGCTCTCCTAAAGACTAGGGCTAGCAAAGAGCACCTGTCATTGCTACTCAGCCTTCACCGGAGAGAAATAAATCAGATGATCACACCAAATTTCAATGGAGGCTGGGAAATATAAAGTATCCAGGGTGCCCAACCTTCTCTCTTCCAGTGGAAGGAGAGATCAGAATTTGGGGAGCAAATTCATATCACAGACGGCTATGAAATATCGATAAGACATTCAAGTGGAAAAGTCAAATAGTAAGATTATAACTCTAGAACTCAGTGGAGAGTTTTTGTACTCTGGCATAAATTTGGTAATCAGCAGTAGTGCTTAA